GAAGGCAGGAGCAGGAATGTGAGCAGCGTAGGTGAACGGAGGACCCAGCACTGCCGGGGCTATGTTTGTCCCAAATGATCACGTAAGCGAGAAGGACAAGCATCAGCCAGGTGCAAGGACGGGACCTGGCCTTGTAACCCGCGCGTCCTTCCAGTGCGCGTGTGTAAGGCCGTGCGCGTGGGGAGGGGGAGAGGAGAGCTTTTTGCGACAAGTGGACGGCGGAGATGGATAGGCATTCATCAACACTTTGGAAGTGTCTGGTACGCTGGCTTACCTGTTATGTTATTGATAGGGATCTCCAATGAAAGGTTCACTGATTGCTGGTCAGTTCTGCCATGAATAAATCAATAAACCAAACTGGACCAGAGTCAGCGTGCAGTGGGTGAAGGGAGCAGTCCTGAACCGGCTGCGCTGCGCTCGGCAGCGAGGTGGCTGTGCCTGCCTGAGACCGCAGTGCTCGAGTTCTGCGCTCTGTCGGATGGGAGGGGGTAAAGCTCAGCTGCCCAAGGGGTACGTGATCCTACTCGAGCGGTGCTTCTTTCAAGAGGATGGCTAGGAGAGAAGAGGATGCCACTGGTAACACCGTACATCCGTGTAAAGCTCTCCGCACGGTTAATCCAGAGCCCTGGAACCACCCGCCTTCGAGTTCGAGCGTGCCGCCCTCTTTGCTGTGGTGCCTCCCGGGTGGGTGACAGTGAACAGGAGCCCCACGGTCTGGGAGCTGCTGGGATTCATAGCAAGTGTGTCTCGCTGCTAATTTGGGTTCTTCCTTCTCTTGTTTTAGGTTCTTGCCATATTTGGGGGCACTAAATGTGCAACGTATTGCAGACGTTTGTGCTGCTTCGTCGGTGTGAAGGACTTCTGAAGGACCACGGGCTATAGCAGGAGGGACAGGAGCCACCTTTTCACTGCCGGATTGCTACCTGGTAGCTTTGCTCTCCGGGCTGTGGGGATGCTCCTGTCACTAGCAAGCACACAGGACAGAGTCGTGTCTCTTTACGAATTCCCAAAGCACGTCAGGTTGAATTGCAAACCTTTTTTTTTTTTTTTGCTTTTATAAGCAGCATCTTTCTTCTTGCTTGTAACTTTCCAATCATCATGCTCAGGTTTGGAACAGGGCCAGAGAACAACTCAGCTTTGGTTTGCCTGACAAATACAGTGAATTGGTTACTATTTCACAAATAATAAAAAAATCAACAGAAACTCCTTCATTTTCAAAGCATATGTAATGTGTGGGGCTTTTCTTATGCTTGAGTACAGGTCTAAAAGGAATAACAGTTTATAAAGAAAAAACAATAGGTTATATTTAAAAACTGCAACATAAAATAATGTGACAATCTCAGGGTTCTACCTCTGAGCCAGAACTAATTGTTTATTTTTTGGTTGACCCAAGTCTCAGTTTTTAGAATAAACACAATTCTAAGACAACAATTAAAAATTAGTTTTCCCTTAGCTCTGCTTCTGATTGATGTGGTAGCTGGTATTTTATCGCATGTAGTTATCTCTGTTCTGCTTCCCAGGTAGAAACAGGCTTAGTTTATGTAACTTTCTCTTTCTGTCTTCACAATGTGTTTCCCATCAGACAGGTCTGGAAGTTTATTTGGTCTGTATTGACTCTTCCTCAGATGTTGAAGAGGCAGTATGAGAGAGACGGAGAATCAGGCAGGAAAGGAAATGCCTCTGGCGTACCATAAAGGTCATTGCAACAATCTCATAATCTCATTTCCTCTTTAAAGTTTACCTGGGAGTCCCAAACTTTTTTTTTTTTGCTTTAGCTCTGCCACTATGTAAAAAAGGAACTCAAGCCACGTGTTGCAATTCTGTGGTATTGCGGTGAAACGGAGCATCCCTTTCCTTTCAGAGTTTACAAGTATTTATAAGCGAGCCAGCACTTCGCTTCCTTCAGATCACAAATCCAACCTGCCTGGCGACTTCAGCTGACAGGCATCGCAGGAAAAGGTGAGAATTCCTTTCTTCTCTAACACTGGGGCAATGCACGTCTTGTACCAGTTGCTTTGGATGAAACTAGTGAAAACTTAAAATATTTATTTAAAAGTGTATTTAAATAGTTGTCATGACATTTTTCTCAGGACAGTATTTATATGCTTATGTGCCTGAAGTTAAGCACGTGGTGTATCTATGTATATAGCTCATAGACCTGTTCTCTAACTAACAGAATAGCTGATGTTATACGGTAATAATCTGCCGCATCTTACCCATATTCATGTTGCTGGGGTGTGTGCATCGACAAATATGTATTTACGGTCAGACCGTTTTCTGTTTTACAAAAAATGCAACACCACTGACTTGGCCGTGCCTTGAGCTGGGGCTGGTCCGTGTGACGTCCGGAGGCCCCTTCTGACATAAAGTACTCTGCCATTCTCAGGGGGGGATCTGTGCTGAGCTACAGCAGCTCATGCTCCAGGTCACAGGGAGCATGTGATGTTGGTACTCTCTCCTCATCCGTGAAGCGCTCGGGCAGCTGCACTGATTAGTGATGTTCAGAAACTGAGTTTATTTCTGATTAATTTTTCAATAAAATTTTGAGATGAGGGGGTGTGATGTTCTCTCCCCATCTCAAAAATCCAACAATTTTCCATGAAAATTGTTAACCTTTTTCTTCAAAAACCTGAATCGTGAAGCTTCTCCCTAAAACCAAGAGAAACTTTCCTGTTTTCAAGGTTTCAATACTGATGAAAGAGTGTTACAGAAAAGAAGGCGTGTTTACACCCTTCTGCTGCTCCAAGTTTTAGCTGATATTTCAGGTACCGTTTTATGAAGCAGTGTGATGAATGCCATATTACAATGGAGAAATGAGCGTCTTTCAGAAAGTTGCAAAATGCATTTTTCTTTCGCAAATGACAGAATTGCCTGCAGTGGAAAATTAACAGGAGCTCAGAATGTTTGCCTTTAATGAGGCAACGTACTGCCGATAGGCTGCCTGCTAGCGTCTGGCTTTTCGCCGAGGCTCATGCCTCTCCGAGCACAGACGCAATGGGAGACGGGTCCTCTCCTAGATGGTCCCTCCAGACACTGTAGCTTCTGGTCCCATTAACAGCCATGCTGTGCAGCACACACAATCAGATGGGACGCGTTCTTGGCATTGGTCCAGCGATGCTGACTTCTGCTCAAGATTAAGGTTTGCTGATAACAGCAGGAGCTGCCAGCGAGTAACAGATTTGGTGCACACGGAAATACAGACATGCTCTTCCTCCAGAAACCCACATGAAAATGTTACATAGCACATGAGAAGAAATCAGGAGGACTGTTCCCCTTTCACTGAAAAACACTGATTTGGGCGGGAAAAAAAATGCAAATCACTTGATTTTGTGGTTTTCATGTGCATTCAGACCCCCGCTGATAGAACAGACTTTGAAAGATATATTCACCAATCTCTTTTCCTAAGCCGTGCTCCTATTCATTTCGCTTACTCTCCAGCTGAAAAAGTTCCAAAAGTGTATCTAAATAGCTGTTGTTAAAGTTTCTTATGCACAATAATTGGCAAATAGGTTTTATGTTTCATGAAGAGCTCTAGCTGTATTTTGAATTCAGGACAAATATACATTTATATATTGCATACACAGCTACATACTTATATATTGTCAAGCTATATATATGTATGTGTCCCAAATGAACACAGCAGCAGTGATGTACATATCCAGCCATTCCTGCAAATATAGCTGTGGCGCTGAATCCAGTAGGAATTTTGACTGAAATTGCTTGCAAAAGTAATCAGGCTATGCAACCTTAAGCGGACACTAGAACCAGTACCAGTTCAGCGAGTGTCAGTACTGACCTCAGCTCGACACTGCGTATTGGACACTGCAGTCACTTGTTCTCACAGAGGTGGTGAAGACCAGCAAAACACTTCAGCACGTCCTTCATTTTATTTGCAGTCCTTTGTTTTAATAGGACTACTGACAGGCTTAAACCAAGGAATATACTTGTAAGCTTTGCCTGACTGGAATTAAATGTCCGTTGATCCTTTAGTCCAGGGCCTGACTCACGCAGCTCACTGGCATCAGCAGGACTCTTCCTGCATGAGGAATATTTAGCTGAGGGACCTGGGAATGCTTCTGAGCTCCTGACCATATAAGGGCCAAGACCTACGCTCACAGCAATTTCCTCTAAGAGTCGTGATTTCTTCTCTAACCTGGTTTGCGGTGTGAATAACAAGCGGATCAAAATCTTGGCTTGCGCTGCAGTGCAAACCTGAGGCGCAATTGTTGTGTAGTCTGAGCGTTCTTAGAGTGGGAGAATTGCTTCTCACTTCACTGGGACTGACTCTGTCTTCTTACTGTCCTGTCCAGCATTGAGCTCCATTTCAGCGCACACTCAACAATCCTCAATGAAGTTTAGTAATTTATCTTTTCCCAACAGATGTCTCACCTGCTATTTGCCTTACTTTCATTATTTTCCCTTGCTGCCCTTCTGGAAGCGCAGTGGAAGCTGAGGGAAAACGGTAAGCAGTTTTCACTTACTGAGACCTACAGCTGACTGTAGGACACAGAGGTGTTTCAGAGTTATACTTGTGTCCGAAGCACAGGATTTGTTAACTATAGTATCTAGGCCAAGGTTCTTCCTGTTTGTGAATAACTAGCCAACTAATTGGTGTTAATGGAAGAAATACTTCCAAGTCCTAGAATGTTGTACAACAGCCATTCTGAATATTTGCATTAGAAACTGTCTTATTTCCTATTCCCTGTTCTCTTGTTTCAGAAGTTTCAGTCATGCAGTTTGGAAGCAGAAACGGTATCTTGTGACTTAGGTAACAGCCCACAAACAAACAAGTTAAGAATTACTTGTCAAAAATAACATTTTACAGTAAAACCTAAAACATAGAAATAGTTTATCCAGCTTTTCTGGTAAATAACTTAAACGCAAATACATTTGCAAAAATACAGGGTCAGAAATAAACAAGTCTTTTGGATAACTTACCAGAAAACTGGACTAAATTCAGGTAATCAGATTTGCGGTTGTTATTCACCCAGTGTAGCTCCAGTAATCCAGGCTGTCTTCAATGCGGTTATCCAAAGAGAAGGGCCCTAATCAACATGAGAAAAGCATTCTCAATCTGATTGTGTTCTATTTGTAAAAACTAATTCAATTATTTTTTCCCCATATCTTTTCATTTAAAAATTATTTATCCTGTGGGTTCCCTGAGCAATACCACAGTGCTGAAAACTGCAAATAAGTTTGTCAGTATTGAGAATAATCTGTATGTTTGAAGTCTGGAAGATGTACCTTGCCTGTGCTTCAATTATCCATAAGCAGTTTGGTGAGATTCTGAGCTTCCTGGAGGCGCATGTTTTCTGCCATTTTAGATTCAGCGTTTGACATCTGTTTCTTAGTGTTTCTTCTTTGTGGTTAAGTCCTAAAGCTCTCGTTTGATAGTGAAATGCTGGCACCCTCACCTTTAAAACAAAGGTACCTGCCGACTTCCCACAACTATGAACCACTGTCAGATTCTCTGGGAACGTGGAAAAAGAACCACGTCTTCCATTAAAATGTCATCGCTAATGATCAGAAGGTTCTAGATACCAAGTCAAACCTCTTCTTAGAGGTTCAAATCTCTAGCAGAGATTTCCAGGTGACGGTGAGGCCTCAGGCAAGAAAGTCAGAAATTCGTTAGCAGTTTTCCTGGAGAGTAGAGGTGAAAAACAGGGCCCAGTTCAACCTTCACACTGTTGAGCATGGGTAGCTGCTAACTCGTCTTTCTCTGCCATGTCCAGTGTACGTCATAGAGTCAGAGTGGAACGATGAGACACCAGCTAAAAGAGTGGAGCTCACCTGTGACGCGTCTGATGAAGCACTGCCAGTTTACTGGAAAAAGGGCACAGAACTCAAAGGAACGGGAAAGACTCTGATTGCCGAAGTGAAAGAGTTCCCAGATGCTGGCAACTACACCTGTCTGACAGCTAACACCCACGAAATCGTCAGCTATAATTTCTTCCTCATAACTAAAATAGACTCCAATGGGCAAATGATAAGGTCAATTCTGAAGAGCTTTAAAGGTACGGTCAGACGCTGATGCGCTCTGTCTTGCTCGGCTTTGTGCACTGGAGCTTTGTGAGGACCAGCGGGAGCTCTCTGGAGAAGCGCGTGAGGAATACCCACTTTGAAATGGGTCCTCTTCAAATGCTTCACTGACAGCGAGAGGAAAATTATCACTTTTGTGTGGGTGTGTGTGGTGCAGCTGATGAGCAGCGTAGGAGTTGGTTGCCGTGGGATTAATTTAGGAGTCTCTAGACCTGTAGGATGGAGGGATGGTAGGAATGATTAGGTACAGGATAACATCAGTGCTACACCACTGCTCTTCTGGTGGAGGAGCAACTGACCCGCTTTGCCTCCAGCTGACAGACCCAGCACTCAGGAGAGGGTTTGCAAAACCAGGGCTGCATGATTTGACAGAACCAGGGACTGACCTAGATTTTAAGTGCTGTCATTTGAGCTTCTCCATTCACCATTAACCCACTGGGACAAGCCTGTGGCGTTTTCTGCAGGAAGCTCCCTCACCTATGTCTCATACTGCCGTCCACTGTAATGCCAGGAACGAATGAGTTCCTGAGGGTTTCCCCCGGGACCCAGGTATCAGATGCAGCAGGCTGCTCTGCCAGCCAGCCACATCCTGGCAACACTACCGAGCTGCTGAGAGTCTGCCGGGCCGGGCAGCAGGAACGAAACGCACGCCTCTGCTGAGGCCTCATTCGCTTCTCACGCTGGGAACATTCCCCGTCAGGTGCCTCAGTGTGTGGCGACGTGAGGTGACCCGCTGCGTGCACGCTCGTGCGCGGGGCAGCCAGCACAGAGCTTTGCCAGCTGAATAGCTGCCATGTTTCCCTGTGAAAGGGAGGATGGATTTGTCTATGAAAACCTCTCGCTGACAGCTGTCTGCAGCAGCTCGTGTCAGTAGCCCCGCAGACGTGGTTATTGTGGTGCCATCTAAACCAGCCTTGGCCACCAGCTGCAGGTGACTACCCGAGGGGCAGGGTGGGACGGGGCCTGCCGACATACCCACCGCCTGCCAGAGCAGACGGGAGTCTCTTCAGCTACTGTTTTCTCTCTGCTTTGACCATTTTGGCAAAACGAGTCAATAAATCACATTTTCCTTCTTTCTCCATCTAGAGCCAAACAGGACATTTTTAAAATGTGAGGCAAAGAACTACTCTGGAATTTTCAAATGTTCATGGATGACCGAAAATGAGAGTCCAAATGTGAAGTTCACCATCAGAAGTCTGAAAGGGTAAGAGCTTGTACTTTCCTTAACAGCCTCACAGTAAGGCTGGAACAGCCCTGTGTGTTACTCTGTGTGGGAGATCCTGGATTTTAGGCTACTGGGGACGGGCAGAAGGCGAGGAACCCCACTTCCAAAGTCCGAACATCTGCAAAATGTTCTGAGCCACCCCTGCAACTACCTTAACTAATAAGGGCATGGAAGCTGCTCAGAAATTAATGGAGACTTGAAAATGGACCAACCCCCACTGGACTGTTCCAGCTGCTACAGTACAACCACAGAGTAACTTAGGCAATAGCAAAAACAGTTCGTGCAGGGGAGAGAGAGGAAGTTGAGCCAAAAACAGAAACAATCATAGCACCGAGTCCCTTCGCAGCAGATCCAGAGGAGTTAGGGAGTGGGAGGCTGCGCCCACTGCAGAAGCCACATGTCCACTGACAAGTCTCTGTTGAGGAACACTGCAGAAACCTGCGAGGGAAATATGTGAGGGGAACCTTGCGGGGATTTCCTACCTCCCACTACTCTGAGGGGTTTCTCCAAAACATGCAGTGCTTGAGCAAAGGTCACGTCAGTTTGTTAAAGAAGAAATAACCGCAGAGTGTTTTATTTTGCTGAATGCAAAAATAGAACCAGATTCAGGTGGTACTTTATCAATGGCTTTTGTTATTTATTTCCCAATTGATCCGTTTTAACCTTCCCTTATTTCTTCCAGCAAGGGTTATGGAAAGGGCTAAGGAACAAAGAAAGATACCAGAGCTTGTCATGGGACAGTGGTGCAATAAAAAATGAGATATCTTGGTTTAGATTGAAACAGCGATTCCTTCTGCTAAGGCAGGGGGGTCTGTGATTTTACGTTAATATGTAACACCCCACTGACAGTGTAGGAACTCCCACCGAAATGTTTCTGCGGCAGTTGAAGCGCAGCTGTAAAATGATACAGGCAACAGCAAAACATTACTTACCAACTACATGTTATTGTTGTGGCAACACATTCTCAGAACAAACCAGCATTTCCAGTACTTTTCTCTGTTCTGTATTTAGCTCGCAAGGAGACGTGACCTGCAGCAGCCCTGTAGCTCACGCTGATAAATCAGTGACGGAATACAGCGCCCAGTGCCAGAAAGAAAACTACTGTCCGTTCGCTGAAGAGCACCAGCCAACCGAGATGTTCCTGGAGGTCATTGACGAGGTGGAATACGAGAACTACACTAGCAGCTTCTTCATCAGAGATATCAGTGAGTGGGCCAAGAGTCATGATTAATGCTTAGCTTTATTCTTGCCGCTGATAGTGGAACTAACAGCAGTAGCTGATCAAACCAAGTTTGGGAATCCCTGCCCTGTTCTACTGTAAATCTGTATCGAGCCCCCAGTTACAGGAACAGGGGAAAACAAATCTTAGCAGCAGTCCAGAAGAGGATGAGGAAGTGAAGAAGCAACATCTCCCTAGCTTGTGACCACCAACCCTCTCACCCCCACACCTCCCAGAAGTTTCTGTAGCCTCTCTATCAGATGGACATGTTTTGGAAGGGGTGTGTGGGAGAGGGCGGGGAGTAACCAATAACCCAGCAGTCTCTTCTCCGAGAAGTGCAGGTTTACTCAGATAATGGCTAACGCTACGTATGCTTCACCCCAGATCGGTTCGCACAGATGGGCATCCAGGGCAGGCTAACAGAAACTGACAGGAACTAAGGGGACCAGTTGTGACCACGATGCCACAGGACACAGGAAAACGAAGCAGCATCCTAGAGAAACAGATGTTTTGCTAAATGCCCTAACGGTCAGCAGGGGTTGAAGATATTCCTCTGTGTCCAGCAGAGCCCTCTGCAACCCTCCAGGCAAAACAAAGAAGGATCCTGCCCAGAGAGACTCTGGGAGCGTGCTTCATTTTCCATGAGCACGCAAGGCAGTTCTCACACATCGTGCCTACTCCTCTATTAATCTCGTGGATGCTCCCAAAGCTGATTCCTATAAAACCACCACCAGTAGCACATCACCGTCTGATACTATGCTGCTCATGTGAGTTAACTCCTTCCGTAATTTCTCTTGCAGTAAAACCTGACCCACCCCAATGTCTGTCCGTGGCCACAAATGGAACAGTGACCTGGACATATCCCAGAACATGGAGCACACCGAAGTCCTACTTCCCTTTGACTTTCAGGGTCAAAGTTGAAAGCGCAGAGAAACACAAAGGCGAGCCAGAGGTACAACATCTGAAACACGATTCTCTTGCTTGAGCAGACAGTATCAATAATATAAGCTTAGTATGCAAGAAACATGGACTGGGCAGGGTGGGGTGGGGGGAAAGGTGCTGAGACCCAAACGTGGCAAGGTTCTGTCTTGGCAGAAAAAGACCTTCTTCCCAGTTCCATGAGCAGTAAGATCCCAGCAACACTCCGGGGTGGATGCAACCCTGATGTAACTGGGGAGTTAAAATCGTGCCCAGCATTGCATCGCTGTGCTAGCGTGAGAAAAGTATGTGCTAATTCATTCGTAGGCTGTGTGGGTCCTAATGCGGGAAAATCCAGTTTCCAAATCTGGAAGCCTAGGATCTGTTGCACTGGTTTCCTTGTATGTTTGTACCTCCTGGGTAGCTCAGACGTTCTTACAGGTGAATGACAAATAAGGAGTCAGTGACTCACTTGGTAGCATTTCTGTGGAGACTGGTGAAGACTACAGTCTTTGCCACTCACTCACCAGTTATTAAATTGTTAACTAAACATTGGTACTCTGCATTAGCTTTAAATCACAACACGGCTCCGCTAATGCTAATGCTCATGGATACACTAAAGGGTACACTACAGCAGCATGGCAATTCGCCTAAGTTGGCAAAGAAATCAACAGCAGAACTGGAAAGAAATACACAAACCAGCTGACCGCAGTGCAGGTCCTTAACTGCAGTGCTGCTCTTCCTTGGTCCAGCAATCGGAGAAGTAAACAAATGCCGTGAGCATTCCAGTCTGTCGACTGGGTAAACCAAAGACGCCGGAGGATGTCTTTTCCCGTGTGGAACAAGCAAGTGAGCCTGTGCCGGCAGATGGGGCCGCTCCCCTGTGCTGACTCCCCGACTGCCTGCGGGTTGTCTTGCACAACCCCTGAGGCAGAGACGCTGGCGAGTCCGGGAGCGCGGCTTGTCTCAGCCGCCAGGCCCCAGTGGGAATTTCAATGATACTGAAAATCAGCAACTTCTGTCTTTTAGGGTTCCCGCTCTGGGAGAAGAAGGAAAAAGAGAAAAAACCCAGATAAGCAAATAAAGCCTTTGTTTTAATGACTGTTTCAGTTTGGGGTTTGGATCGCTTTGCAACACTAACCTCAGTGGAAAGTGGGCTTTTTAGTTTCCTTCTGCTGAGGCTCAAGTTCTCCCAAGTCCTCATGACTTTGGTATCTGTGGGTGAAGACTGGTGCCGTTGAAACGACGGACTGCCAGTGGGTTTTCTGAGTTCCGTGCGCCTGTTGCAATCTGCCTGGCACCGCGGTGCGCGTTCTGCCTGACCTTTACAGCCCGCTGACGGAGCCGTGCCCCGTTCACAGGTCTACACTGCTGAGGAGCAGTCTGTTCAGATTCCCACGGCTGGCCCGAAAGACAAGATCTCTGTGCAGGCCAGGGACCGCTATTACAACTCATCCTGGAGTGAGTGGTCTTCACTCTGCAGGTAAGACTTAAAGAACCTTCTGCTGCAGAAGCAGGGACAGTTCCTTGCCTAGGAGAGAAAGGAGTCTGTGAGCTAATTCTGCTTCTTCAGTGCACGTTTATCTCGCATTTCCTCATAACCACTTTTGTCTCCCAAACACTTTTTCATGAACGATCTAAGAGAATAAACACGTAAATGTGTTGGGCTGTCTAAATGCTGATTCTTAAAAAAAAAAAAGATTGAGGAAACAATTAGAATCCATTTAAATTAGAGAGGAAACAACAGATGTAGGTTCATGGACATGGGTAGTGTTCTACCTAACTAGGCAATTATAAAGTATACTTTAAGAAATAGATGAGCATTTGGTCATTGCTAGAGTAACCCATGCTGATTTTTATCCTTTCTGGTCATTGATCGCTTATGAATCAGTGTCCCAATACAGCAGACAATTCATATGCGGCCAAGTCTCACCTGCAGAACGAGAAAGGGAGTGAATGGGAGAGAGGAGATGTTTGCTGTTAGAAGGAAACGCTGTTAGCAGCTTCCGCAAGCCCTAGGACCGGCTGTTCTCTTATTCTGTGAACTGAATAGCGTTCTCTGACAGCTCTACAGTACTCAGCCTAGCTTTCCGGGTCAGAACATATTTTTAAATATGTAAATAGCCTCCTTCAGGTCAACACCAACAAGAAATGTCCAGATTTTTTTATCTTCTTCCCCTCTTCTGTGTGGTAATTTTGGGGTAGCTGTTTTTCAATTAGATGTCGACGCGAATCTCTCTGGCCTCTGAGTTTCCCGAGTCACACTATTGAAAAGCTGTGAACTTGTAGCCCTGCTGAAACGCCTGAAGTGAGATCGCACTGTTCGTGGACCCACTCTTCCCTGGGGCAGGGGCATCCACAGACACCCGTGGGAACTGAGGGAAGTTTCCAGAAGGTGTGCCCGACTCTCAGCAGTTGAAGCGGGATCCCTGATCCCCACCAGGCACCGGAACTTCTGAGCCTGGCCTTACGTGGTCCCGAGGCCTTCAGGGAAATTGTGTGCTGGCATTTCACTAGATGGCTCAGACCAGCAAAGCTTTATGGAGAAACAGGCTGAAAATCTAAGTCTGAGCCCCTAATCAAGAAATTAATTCTTATGTAAATTTCCTTTCTCTTATTTTACAGATAAGCAGGAAGAGATTCTAGGAGAATGGCACAATGCTCCTAAAGAAAGCAAAGAATGAATTAGCACAAGAACATAAGCATAATTAGAAGAAAAATTTGCATTTGAGATTGTTAAGAAGCCATAACATATCTTTTTTGTAATAGATAAATACGGTCCTGATTTTGGCAGCTCTTTTAAATTCCCCAGGTTGGAGTAACACCTTTAGCATCCATCATGTTATATTAACACGTGGAGTGCTTTGGACCATCGCTGCCAGCTGTTATTGTAGGTTCTGCATATTACTGTATTGCACCTATTTATTTATTTATTTATTTATCATTATTTATTTACTTGATACAATTATTTATTTACTTGATATTTACTTGATGGCAGTTGCTATTCAAACTGTTTCATGTGTTAATTTATTTGGAAAGTAACTTACTGAAAGAACTGTTTTAGTATTTCGTTATTTAATTGTTTAATTATTTGATTATGTCATTATTTATTTTTATTTATGTTGTTGCAATGCATCAGCGTGGAAGGCCCTGGCCGCACGAGGCAGCTGTGTGTCGCATGTCAGGGCCGTCCTCGTCTTCCCGTCTGATGGCAGACGTTGTAGTGCGAGACGGAATCGCGAGTTCACAGTCCTGGAGACGTTAGCTGCTGCGTTTTGTCAGCCGCCCGCGCTCCCCCCACGTCGCTGCCAGCTGGTGAGCACGGCCGGCCTCGGGGTGCTGGGGTGGGGAGAGCCCCGATGCCACCTCGGAGCGGGAGCCAGCAGCCGACCGTGACGCCTCCTAAACGAAACTCCTTTTCTTTCGTGCTGGTGATCTCTAGAGGCCCTTTGTCCCGTGACCACCGCGCACCCCGTGCGTCTCTTGCAGGGGGTTCTCTGGCAGTAAAATTAAACCAGACGTGCCACACCGCAGGCAGGGCCACAGGGCACAGGTAGTCAGGCATCTGCACCTCAAACCAAGGCAGCCTGAATTACTTAGAAGTTTAACTGCAGCGTATCTGGTATTTCAGAGAGCAATGGGTAACTGGTTTTATATGTGGATGTTAAGCATCTAATTAAAGTTAGAGGTTTAGAATACAGACTTTTACAGTTCATTTTGAAAGCACTTCCCTAGTACTGCGAGGCGTGCTAGGTGTCTTCACAGAACCTCAGGGAAAAAAACTCAAGTCCTGGTTCTGGACTGCTTACAGTGTAAGTCCCCAGGTCTGGAAAAAAGCAGAAGCATGTGTTGAAGTCTGCACATTTTTGTCAAGCCACCTAAATCCTGACTTTCAGGAGGGCAAAATACATTCAAATAACTTTTGAGGATTTAGGCCTTAATCCCTGATACAGAATCACTGAAATTAAAGAAAGACCTCCATTTGCAACCATGCTTCCTTTTTTTCCAGTCTTAGAAATGGGTGGTAATTTAAGATATTTAAACATTGAAAAGTAGGAAGTATCTGATATTTCAGACAACTTTTGATAATCTAGCTTCAAGTGCTGTTAGTATTTATTAAGTGCATACAACTTATTTCTGCTATAAATGCAATTTACTGTGCTTGTTTTACAAAGGAGCTAATAACAAATACATCTGAAAACAAGAAAATTTGGTTTACTTATGATTTTTTTAAGAAGAACGGTTAATATCACTCTCCGCTTTCCTACCAGAATATTAGACACTACTTCTGAGGCAGTGTCTGCAGGGAGAAGTAGTGTTACTGATGAACGCTACCGCTTTCACGGCCTGTGAAACTGCACAGGACAACGCAGAAGAGCGGTGTCTGCTGGTGAGCAGTCTCTTCCAAACCCTCTCCTGCCGGCTGAGAAGCGATTTGTTTCTTTTGCAGTCTAAGAGCACACTGAAGTTCATGGGCCCTCGTGGTCAGGAGGTTTGCAACTGAAACCAGGCTGACATCTGTCTTGAGGTCTTTGAGGTTTCTCTCATACTGTCGGCACGGCATTCAGAATTAGTAGGACCTGCCTGTTCTTCAGATACCTGGGTTGAAACCCTGGCACCGTTGAAACCAATCATTGAAACCGCTCATTAACTTTGATTCACCCTAGTTTTCACTCTTGGAAGTATGCAGGCTAAATTTACAAGCATCCTGACAAAGACTGTATCGATCTCTCCTTGTTGCACTGCAAATAATCTGGAAACCGTCTTACAAAGGTCACAACGCGTAGGCTCAGTCCGGTTGCACAGTGTACAAAAGGGCCCCCAAAAAACCTTCAGATTGCAAAATCAAAGCTTCTGAAATAAAACGATGACAGAACTCAGTTTATTCCTGAAGCCCCTACGGTACAGGCGTGGCTAATCACATAGGCACACAACAGGTCTTCTGCTGGACCCCTGCCTCCCTGGGTGACCCCCCGGTCTCCGGGCACGGGCAGCTCCTCCAGCTTTCTGTTCGTGCTCCTCGTTCCACGAGTGGCTTTAGGTCTTCCTACCACACCCCCCTCCATCTGCGCTGCACGGAGACTGACTAATTCCCTCCAGGGCTTTCTGTGGGCGCTCCACAAACGGCTGCTGTGCTTAATGAGGCACCAACCGGCTGCAGCGGAGCCTGCTGTCCTCTCAGTGCCTCAGCCATCAGAGCCAGGCAGGCAGGCGCTTGCGGACAGCGAAACAAACAAAAAGAGAAGGCTCACCTCGAATTAGGGGTTCTGTGAGAGAACACATACCAGATTTCAGGTCCGAATGCTTCACACCCGCCCCTCCGTCCATGTTGACCTTCATCCTATCCCAATTCCTCGTAAATTGTAGCTTCTTTTTTATAAAAGTTGTAATATTTTTAATAGAGGCAAAACCAATGTATGTCCTCTAACCTTGTTCTGAGACATGAAAAAAGCTAAGAAACCTTTCCTCAAATATTTCCGCCTGACTGACTTCAGTGTGACAGAACTTCAAAGTGCTAAACACCAGGAAATTACATCTTAAAACACAAAACAGAAGGCAATTTAAAATAAGTCCTATTTAATGCTCACTGTCCAACTCGTTCAGTGCTAAGTGTTAAGCTGTTAATGCCTGTTTTGCCTATATCTGTGAAGAATCAAGTCATTCCGAAACATCAAGCGTATGACACTAAGAAACTCAAAGGATTCACAAGCTAGTTGCACAGCAGTAGGTATCACAGCCTCGTAATTTATCTTAAACTGATCAAAAGATAGAAAGAAAAAGAATAAAGATCAGCTCCAGCCTTTGCAGAGTCATAGTGTCGGGGTTTTTTTACTTTCTAAAATAACACATGAAGCCTTCAGCTGGGATCTGTCCCAGCTTGATACCTGCAATTTTAAAGAAAGGCTCCTTTGATCTTTCTTAAGGTGTGGGAAACGGGAAACTCACCTTCCTTCAGGCAAATACCCAAATGTTTGGGCACAGTTTGATGCCTTAAGAACGACATCACTTGGTTCTCAAACCTCCCATTGAGCAAGAGTTTAAAGTCTGATACGCTAATTGCACATGGGCGGACAACCCTGACCGCGCACAGGCGGCGCGGCTGAAGGCGCCCGCGCACGGGGCTGTGTACAAACAGGCGCTGCCATCGCCCAGCGCTCTGAACCCCGCTCGTGACCACATCGCGTGACACCCACCTGCGCTCTTCCCAGGTGCACACGCGGTGTGAGAACAGGGTTCTTAGCTAGTCCGCGTGCCATTTCTCGAGCACTGCTGACGTCCTCGGCGCGAGGCGCTCCATCGTGTGCGCGGGAACAACCCACCCCGCACCCAGGCTCCCTGGCGGGCACCCAGGCAGCACCCTCCCACGCAGAGTGAAGCAGGCGCTTAACTAACGACGTGCTGCAGCAGGGTGCTTGGCATCCCATCTGTGCTCCACTCGGGGCTCCAAACACAAAAGCAATGTATCCATAATCGTGACAAATGTTCTCCGTCTCAGAAAAATATGCACTCAGATATAACAGGCCCGTTTAAGTGCATAAACATTTGTTCACCAGGTAATTGTTTTTTTCTTCTTCAGAATAACAACTTGGAGAGGTAAGAAGTTGGGAAAAGACCAGACACTGATAAAAGTACGTAACTGTCAGAGGCCCACAGTTAACATGCGTGTATTCAAACAGTACCTCCCCGCTCAACGGAAACCAGTATGAGCTTGCTGATGAGGCTAGACTTTCACTCCTAATTTGTCAATCCAAACAGAGTATTTACCATAAACTTCAGAATTAGTTTTAGGTATGGTAAAGAGGCCTGACTTTTAAAAAAAACAAACCTAGAAACGTTAACTCATACGGACAAATCCAGTGTGCCACAAAGTCCCCGACTGCCAGCAGCAGTTAACCCTGACCTCTGAGAATCGGCATCGGTTCAGGCTGGAATGGACCACTGGCGGTCACCTGGTTCCCCACATCCCTGCCCCACCACCAGACCACGGCCAGGTTAGAACAGATCCGTTTTTTAATCTCTCAGATAACCTCTCTAGGCAAGCGGTTACAATGCTTGCCTAGTCTCACTGTGAAATTTATTTCCCTCACATCTAATTGGAATTTCTCTCACTGCAATTTGCACTATTGTCTTTCTTCCTTTCGCTGTGCACCTCTGAGAAGAGTCTGGCTCTTATCTTCCCTGTGCACCTCTATAAAGCAGCTGAAGACAACAACGAGACTTTGCCTTCTTTCTTAAAACTGAACATACAACTTCTTTCAATCTTTCCTAGTATGACATGCTTCATCCCTCTCAACATCGTGGTGGTCCTTCATGGGATCTGATCTCAGTATCTTTCTTGTGCTGGGGACCCCAGAACTGGACGCAGAGCTCCAGATGCAGCCTCGTCAGTGCTGAACAGGGGGAACAATGATGGGTTTGCCTTGATAATTACATGCTTACTAATACGGCCCAGCGTGCAGACCTAGACTTGTTCACTGTAGCGGCAAACCATTGACTCATGTTCACTTGTCCACCAAGAGAAGAACCACTACATTCTCCTCCCAATCTGCCGCTGAGTGTTCCTGGAGACAGCACTCTGACCTAGATGGACCTTTGGCCTACCTGAGGACGATGGGTCTCAGGTTGTTCGACCAGCTCTGGACGAAGACTGCCAGGGCAAACGACAAGCCTCTGCAAGCCTTGACAGAAAGGCCCCTCAGATGAAGCATCTTTTGAGTCAAACAGTGACTGTTTTCTCCAGTTGGCTAATGTGAATTCGGCCCATTCTTGGAGCTAGGCACACAGATACCTTCGATAGCCTTTTAAACTGCAGTTGCAAAAAATGCTTTGTGGCATTGCTTCTTACTGAATTTCGTTTAGAGATTTTGCATATGAGTATTGCCTCACAGCAGAAAGTGAAACAGACTCGCTCTCTGTGTATGGCATGGCATTTTTCTTCTCAGAGCTTCAAGACAGCTTTGATATTTCAAAATGCAAAAATCTCCAGAACTTTGTCTGACCCCCAGCTGTGCCCTGCTCGTAGCGCGCTGCTATCTGCACATCCTACAGTATGTCACAGCTTCTCGTCAGAACTGTACCCCTCCTACCTGAAGTGGCCTGGCCAAGCCCTACAAAGCTTGAGGTCTGCTGCTCAGAAAACAAATCTTAGTTCGATTCAAAAGCCCTAATTAAAACATACAAACATTACCGGAAAGGAAACATTCACACCGTGGCTTTATTTTTTAGCAGGCATGGTGGTGTTGGGTTGACGGTTGGACTTCATGATCTTAGAGGTCTTTTCCAGCCTTAATGATTCTATGATTCCTGCTATGGGGTATCGAGTAAGCACCAGGAATCCTTTCAATAGCAAGATAATTTTCAAAGGCTAAGAAGAGTCTGATCCAAAATCTGTCTCCCTCATTAGCCCCCTCCCTCCCACTTTGAAAAGTCCCCTCTTCCTTTCTGCACTAGGCCTCAGAAAATCTTCCTACATCAGCTCAGAAGGCTGCAAACAGACGTTTCTGCTCTTCCACTGGAAGGATGGGATGGATACTGAGGTTGCATCAGGCAGTACACTCTGCAGCACCGTATTAGGCAAGAGAGCGTAACCGAAGTGGCAGATTTCCTCATACCAGTGTCAAGGAACCTGCGTGTTCTGTCAGGCTGCAGTTTTATGACTTCAAAATATCCTCAAGAGTTTTGTTTGCTCAAAACTACTCAGACTAGGAGTACCTTCTGGGATGATCTGGGTTTTGCTCTTGTTGCCTAGTGCTGGCAATTGTCCGTCAACAAATAATCATGCCCTGAATATTGTCCATCAGTTTATACAGACTCCAAAGGGCCCCAGCAATGACCCGAGGGCTGGAACCCCTCTGCTGCGAGGAAAGGCTGGGAGAGCTGGGGCTGCTCAGCCTGGGGAAGAGAGGGCTCCGAGCAGACCTTACTGCGGCCTTCCAGTACTCAGAGGGGGCTTGTCAGAAAGATGGGCACAGGGTTTTTAGCAGGGCCCGTTGTGACAGGACAAGGGGTAAGGGGTTTAAACTAAAAGAGGGGAGATTTAGACTGCATACAGAGAATAAATTTTTTACGATGAGGGTGGTGAGGCCCTGGCCCAGGCTGCCCAGAGAGGCGGTCGATGCCCCATCCCTGGGAACGTTCAAGGCCAGATTGGATGAGGCTCTGAGCAACCTGATCCAGTTGAAGATGTCCCTGCTCACTGCAGGGGGGTTGGAGTAGATGGTCTTGTAAGGTCCTTTCCAACCCAAACTACTCTATGGTTCTATGACAGGCTCTTCAGGAAAGTTTTGGGCTTTCCAGAGTAAAAATTTCACTGACATCCCAAAGCAGCAGAATCCAGATCAACCCCAATTTAATTTACAGCCTGTCTTTTGTGATCTCCACCTCACAGGAATACGCACAGATGTCCAACTTGAGAACACAGAAAATTTTAAAATTAAATTACTGAAGGGCATTTAACAAAAATAGTCTACAGGCCTTCACCTCAAACCAGATCTTTACCTATCCTGGAACTGAAACTGGATGGCATTTGTTTGCTTTTTTTTCTGCGCCATTAAGTGCTGAGAAGTTAACCATCTATTCGTTACCCCAGGCTGTCCTGCAATGCAGGGAAGGTGATCAGTGAAATACTGCAAGTTGTAATGGTGCACACGGATCCTTCAAATTGAGACAGTTTGCACATCTGCACTGCAAATCACCAAAGGGAAAGCAATTCTGGAAGGATGGGTTCAGACAAAACTATAGGCTCAAAACGCCACGTTACTTTGAACTTTATGAAAACTAAGACTCAGATCCGAGTTTCTGACTGTGACTCTACCCCTGCTCTGTGTTATAAAAGCCAAAAATTCATGTCTGTCTATTAAGTCACTAACACACCTGTATGTTGGATTTGTTTAAAGAATTCCACATAATACAACACCTATTGTGCTGGAAATAGCAACAAAGGAGAAGATGGGCAGGCAGAGGGATCTCCTCCATATCTCCACGACAGAAAACTAGGCAGCAACTCATCAGGATGCACAATGGCTGTGAACTCATCACTTCTCTTTGCCAGGCAGTGCCATGCAGCATCTCTGCTCCTGTCACAAAGCATTGCTTCTGGTCTCTCAGCTGGTGGAACTTTAAAGGCAGAAGAACACTGAAAGACCGGGGATCTCCTGGGCTGTGTGTGAAGGTGAGGGTATTCACGTGAATACTGAATTTTCCAAGCAGCAACTACTCCCACGGAGCAGTCCGAAAGGGCTCAGTGCACAGCCACAGCACCCAGCATCGCCTCTGTCTGCAGCTAGTGGCAAGGGTCTCCAAACTTCCGAGAGAACAGGGCTTAAGCATTTCAGCTGCACTGGTGTGAATCTTTTGGAGCACGCCCAGTAAGAACTATATTTTTTTCCCTGGGAATGGTGTTCATCTCTACGGGTCAATATGGCAATAACAGAACAGCAACAAGTAACCACCTTTCTGAGTCACTCCTTGAACTTGCCAATGGAGATGGAACAGTTAATTAGGCAAGGGGATTAGCCAAAGTGCAATTCATCTCCTTTATCAACACAATGCATGCTGTGACGCTCATCTTTGCCCTGTACCTATGACCTTCATGCTGTACAGAAGACATTCTTACTGACACTACCCATGGGCAACACCTTCTTCTAATTACCTTCTCTACAAGGCGGATTTCATCATCGGGGTTCTTGCTCTTTGTGCATGCATATATGTATATATATACATGTACCTGCTCTCACAGAGACACGGATACGCATCTAAGCTCAGTGTGCTGGAATACTCAGAGCGCAGTTTGGCTGTGAAACCGGTCAAGAACCCACGTCTGCCATGAAGATAACAGGCGCCTTTGTGCTCCTCACCCTGGCAGTTCTTTGCTCAGCAGGTGAGTAACCTTTTTTACTTCCTGATGTATTATAGTTCTGATGTTCAAACGCTGGAAGCTTCTTAGTCTACTGGGATAGTAAGTAATGGGTGCTGCACTTGGGTGGCAGAAAGCAAGTGAAACTTTGTGCTTGTGCACTATTTAGCAAGCAACATTGCACCAGCTTTACAGTTGGCAACTGGAGTAGATGAAACCTATTCCTTGACGGTGGTGTCCGTCAGAGCTGCATTCTGCCTTGTAAATAAAAGGTGAACTGTAAAGCCTTAGAACTAACGCAGGGTTTTACCTACTTTTTTTCTCTTCTGTCTCATCAGGGAGCTTGGAGCTGATGAGTTCCTGCTCCTGCTAAACCGAGCACGCAGGAGACAGTCGATTATGCACGGGCCACATCATGTGGCTGTGAACAACCTCTTTATACTGTTAGGTTGCCAGGCTGGAGAGGGCTTTGAGGCACAGGTTGCTCTATGATGAAATAGGGAGCTGGGACGAATTTCTTGAGCCTTCACTTGGTTTTTCTTTGTTTAAACAAAAATTTGCAATAAAAAAAAGGAAAGATCTAGAAAAATAAGTACATTTAGAATAACTGAAAGAGGAGAGTCCAAATCTTCCCTGCTAGTAGTATAGCAGTTCAGTAGCATTATGAATGTTAAAGAAGCAAAAAAATGAAAATGTTAAAACAAAACCAAAAACATGAAACAAAATATATACCTTTAAAATAAAGATAATAGAATAATATAAAAATCATGTCTATGTTTATATATTTTAAAATATGTAACATTTTCCCTTTTTAATAGCTCTGAAAATATTGCTTTGAAAATTGTCTCAAAATTCTTACAGTCAATTTCAATTAAATGGCATGTTTTTGATGGAAACTGTTCTTTCAAACAGTGTTTCATTAACTGCAGAAAAATAAACAGATATCACTTTTGTAAGAATTCCAGCAAATCCCTTCCTTGAACTTTCTAGTTTATCTTGTCTGCACTAAGACTTTATGGGTCAATACCTTCTGAGCCACATCTTTTTTGCATTCACTCCCAAATACACAGTGCACACTACAAGGTCACCAGAGAAAAAAATAACATCTTAATGTTTTTGTGGAAGTGGGTTAAATCTGATCCAATTCCAGACCAGTGAAAACTCAGTCAAACTACTGGTGACATAGACTGAACCTTGACATGGAGCGCTATTCGTGCTAGCGTTCTTTACTTCGGACAGCTTTATTGGATGAGACATCGTCAGCAGCTCCGTGAAAGGAACTTTCAGCAGAAAGCTTAGTGGCTTTCAAAATAAGTAAATAAAAAAGCTACATTTCGTCATATAGACAACGGCTAGTGCTGTATTGCCTTTTAGATCATAATGTGTTTCCTTCCTGCTGCTTCTGTACAGAAGCTTCTCCCTGACAACTTTTATCCCTTGGAAACCACAGAACAAAGATTCCAGGACAGGAGAAGAACAAAATACATTCCTAAAGAAAGTAACAAATGCGTCACCACAATGGACACATGCCAATGTTACTTGATTACTTTCTGGGAGGAGTAATTATCATTGTTTTGAAGGAGTTTTTTGAAGCCCCACCTGAGAACAGGGCTCCATTATATTAGATGCCATGTGTATACAAAATAGGAGCCAATCCTTCTGCCAAATAGTTTATAGAATCCATACTGACTTGCAAGTGAAAACACTTTCTTAAAATGGTATTATGATCCAAATTGCATTATCATTATATATATTTAGTATTATAGTTTAATGACACTATCCTCATTATTGACAGAAAATCGAAGTTTAAAAGGAATGTGTGATTTGCTTACAACCATGTATGATTTTTTTTTTTTAAACTTGGGAATTAAAACCCAGTCGTGTTCAACAACTAGTTCATCCTAAACAGGTTGGCCATTGAAGGTAATACTGACTCCTGGGTCTTCAGTCTTTCTCTGGTGAAAAGGGGAACAATAGCCTCCATTCCCTCTGACAGCAAAGGCTGTTCTAGTTGCTGACACAGATTTTTAAGGTAAACAATATAACGAGGTCCACTTGTTTAATAGGTCCTGACACCTGTATCTTATTAAACACTGAAAAACTATGTCAGTATTTACTTTCAAGGAGGTAAGAGACTTGGTGTTGCTGGAAGGGCTGCTGCTAATGAAACCAACCCAGTTACAAACTGAATATTCAACAGTGATTTTTATTTTATCTTTTGTGATTCTGTTTATATTACAGATACTCAAAAAGGGAAGGAGGTGAGTAACTTTCTCTTTTACTTCTGGCTAAAAATTTATAGTTTGTAGGAACATGATGTCCATGAGGTAAAAAAAAAAACCAACATATTAAACATTAATTATATGCTGCCTAAGTATTTCAGAGAAAAATCCCTCAGTTTGAGGTATGTGGTTTCCATACAGTTGCCCTGACAACTTCCAGATGTTTTTACATGTAATGCAGTCTGGGCAAGAAATTGGGCAAGGCCGAATTTCATGTAGGAGAAATGAAGATTTTTTTTTTTTAATATTTATCTTGTGATTATGCTATAAGGCTTTCTTGGTGACTTTCAGATCCTAAATCATGTGCCTAGAGATTTTAATTTCTCTCTGTGCTGGAGTGCCCATCCAGGGGTCTACCTCTGAAAGAAATGAGGCAATAAAATTCCTTACTCAGACGAGCAGAGACCAGCCCTTTGGGAGTGCAGTGGACAGTAGCCGGGAGTGGAAATTCGCACACATGCACACAGACCTGGCATAATACATACAGCCTCTGATGCCCAAAACTACACCAAGACACATACTCTTCCAGGAAGAGCATGTTCCGCTCTCCACACCAAACCAAGTATTGTCCTCATTTTACCTGCTGTTACATATACACATATGGGGCAGATTCACCTAGTTTCTAGGTTTTTTTATTAGCTGCCCCTTGCCTCTTACAAACTGGGGGTTGATCAGCTTTAAAATGATAAGCTACAAGCTACAGAGATTCCCTCCCATGCCACTGCCTCTTCTGGGCTGTTTTGTGGAAACCTGTCAGCTATGCCAGGGCCCTGACCCACTTTTGCAGCTGGGGCTAAGTGTGCTGCCTCCTGCTTTCCAGGTACCGTCTCAGCCGTGTGACCAGACAAAGATTCAGACGACAGAGCAAGCATCAGACGAAGACAAAAGTGGGGTAAGCTAACCTCCCATACATCCCATATGTTGATGTTTTTTGTTTGTTTTTTTTTTCAATGGCAGACTGGATTTAAGCCCATAATACCCAAAAGAGTGATTGGCTAACGACTGTTTTTGCCAGAGGAGACCTCTCAGCCTGTGCTGGGCCATGGCACAGGGGCCAGGCTGCTGAAGGGGCTCTAGAGCGGCTGACAAGCTTGTCCAAAAATTTCATATATTCATTGTTTCTGTAGCTGAATGGAAAATGTGAGAAAGATGGACTCAAAGAAAAATGATACTGTATTTTCAGATAGACTGCAGTGAATACAGAACCTTAGAGCGAGCAAGACCTATTTACTGTGAAAGACTCTATCAACCTTTCTGCGGCTCTGATGGGAAAACGTATAACAACAAATGTTCTTTCTGCAAAGCAGTCCTGTGAGTACAATACTATATAATTACTCCCGAATAAGCCAAAATCTGAGATTAGCTGAGTTATCTGGTATTTCCATTCCACCTAAGTGCTATCACTTTTTTTGAGGGTCGCTCCTCTGCTTCTTTGCTTAAGCTTTACAGAGTACTTTCTCCTCCCACCAATAAGGTCCAATCGATCTAAACTAATGACCTTGATATTTGTGTGAGCAACTTTCTATTCTAGCAGAAACTGTAGAAGTCAGACTGTAAAGAGAAGAGTCCAATGAGCAACACAAGGCTGACAAGGCACCTGGTCCCAAATCGGGTCATATAAGAATTCAAAAGTGGTACTGGAAATATATTGCTTTTTATGGATAAAATGTGTAATTTTGAAAAGAAAATTGTTTACAGTGCCTTATTGCCTGCTACAAATGTTTGTGGTGTCTTCTCTGTTAGCGAGTTGTTGGCTGAGAACTTCAGAGAGATTTTAGTTCATAATATTAATCTTACAGTCTGCAATGTCTATGTCCTTCCTTTCCTTTGCAGGAGCAGTAGAGGTGCCTTGCGTATGAAGCAAGCAGGGGCATGCTGAAAGAATTCTGCGTGACAGAGAAGAGTGCTGAGAACAGCTTTACACTGCCTTATCACAATCTCTCAATTTAATTTCATTCATCCTGCCTGTTCCGATGATGGCGAGCAAAGCACAAAGTAGGCTTTCCAGCTGTGCTCTGTCGCTGCTTCTCTCTGCTCCAGAGTGTCAGGACTGACGCTTCTGCCCTCTCTGCAAAGCACCTCCTCAGCATTCTCGGGAGCACTCCCATTTCTGTAGCGAGGTGGTTTTCACATAAGCCTCTCGTTACATATTTGTCTCCATAGCTGAAGTTCAAATCTTCTGACAATGCCACCTGATTTTAGTGGACACAAGTCAGTGCAGGCATTGCTTCTGCTTTCCTTGTTGGTGAAGCATTTTCCTTCATTTACCCAGAAACTTCTGCAGATCCTTCTTTTCAAAGGCTTTCCTAGGCAGTGCTTTGACTCTTCTAGTTTTGTAGCTGCATTTGAAATCCTCATTTTTCTTCTAGCTTTGTACAAATCTGATTCACATATGATGTTTAGGTACTTAGATTGCATGGTTATTAAAATAAAAGTTGACACTTTTTTTTGTCCGTGGTGACCTTACTAGATAAGTTTATTGTATCCATTATTCACAAATTACCTATTTCCCAAGTTACAGAAAATAATCATAGAGCAGGAGCTAGGGCCAGAGGTAAACAACAAAGTCTGGAAGACAGAAGTTGTAACACTGAAAATACGCACTAGATGGCCTCCTGTTACTGGAATTTACCCTACAATCCGGCTCTTTCTTTCCTTCAAGTGAAACAAATCTGGTAAGCTGTAAGACTGTGTAAACTTCATAGCGGTGTCTCTGTTAAAGCCTGTCATTTAAATGAGATCATTAATGCTTCTGTTCACTTCTGATAATTTGGCTGTTTTCAGACCTGAAGAAATTTCTGTTCTGCTCTTACATCCTTATTATCTTCGTTATTAAGCTAGTTTGTCTTTTACACTTGAATAGTCAGTCAACAGAGCACATTTTCCCAAAATTAAAACTATGAATGACTGACTTTACTGGGCTTACACATGAAGAAGGCTTTGGAACTGGAACGTGGGTATCATTTCTGTCTGGCACTCTAGTTGGGCTGGACACTCATACTTAAAAAAAATGGAAGATGAGGAAAGAAGCTCATGTCCTTGCCTTTGAAAGCAAGATACCAAAAAGCCTAGCCATTCCACCACTGGCTGAACATGGCTGTAGCATCAGACAGACTGCATTCTGCAGTGGAAGGACCAAGAGCATTTGTTGGTCCATGGTGTTAGTACGTGCTCTTTCTCCTGGCCGAGCTGAGAAACATCACCCTCGTTCCCTGTAGAGGAGAAGAGGCTGTTGGACTTTATGTGATGCTGATTAAAAGCCAAGGAAAGAGTCTTTCACAGGTAGCTACTTTACCAAGGAATTAAGGGTGCCAGAGCACAGCTGTAAGCATTGGAACTCCATCATCTTTTCTTTGAAATTGTTAGCACGATCCTGTCTTGGATCAAAAAATCTTCCCAACAGTTCTCAGGCACCTCTGGGCAGGCTAGGGACCATTTCCAGAAAGGAAACTGGAGGAAGACACCCTGTTTTGGAAGCTAAGATAATTTCATAGCAGAGATGTGACTAAACTCAACTAGCTGGCCTCTGGATGTGAGAGGCTCTGTTTAATTTGCTAGTACACACTGGTGTAACCCTAGTTTTTAGTTTGATTTATAAGGTGAACTGGATGAACTATTTTTATGCCAAGTCCCTATTATACTCAGTACATCTGCTAGAATGATAAAGCTGAAAACAATGAAAAAATGAAAGGAAGAATTGAGGATTAATGAAATGCTAGATTAAGCATGTAAATGGAGTGGTATTTTCCAACCAAGCAAACAGCATAAAAAATACTCTGTCAAATAATACTAATTAATGAGTGTATTTAACAAAGAACTTCTTTTTCCTGACTGTACAGTTCCCTAAGGCATTGCATTTCTCAGCCAAATAGCAGTAGCTACTGAATGTTATGTGAATCTTGGCCAGATGGATTTCTTAACATTATAATATGCTGTTCCCAGTCACTGGTGGTTCCCAAGAAACCACAGGTAGCAGAACAGGAGCCTAGGGACTGTTTTGGGGATGGAGTGGGGTTTATTCCCCACTGTGGGAGGCTTCAGACTCTTTTCTAAGGGACAGTGGTGCTCAACACATTAAAAACCTACTCAGCACTCTGGATTATTCAAAGGCCACTGAAACTGATGGAAGACTATCTGTGACCTTGGCTTTAACTCTCCTCTTGCAGAAAGGAGAAAATGGGCATGTTATTTTCTAGGTGATGCATATGCAGAAGATACTAATTTTGATGTTCTGCTGAAATTATAAGTTTAGAACAGCAGTCTTAGCCAAGTGCCAGGATAAAATTGGAAACGTCAACATTGAGACTAATGAAGATGGATGAAGACTTTCTGCTTAGACCACAGCCCCCTTCTCTTTGCAGCTGAAGTCAGGATTAATCAGCATCTTCATGTGTCAAAGGACAGACTACTGCTCTGAATTCCAGCTCTCATAAGTATGTAAGGAACTTAAAGCTCCTAGAGCAAGGACTGTGGTCACTGTCTTCATGGTACCTCCCAGACTATGTTTCTGCTTGGTGTTTTTGTCTCAGTAAAATCAGACTTTATGTCTGGTGTGAGTGGGGAGAAGTGGTGGAGGGGCTCATCTTCAGTGGCCATGTTCTTCATGAAACAGAAGAAAGCACAGTTCATTCAGAGCAAGCTATAGTTCCCTACAATGCCAACTTATCGATGTTATTTGAGAAAAACTGGCAGAACAAGTCACATTTACATTCTTTGAACTTTGCTAACAAAGTTTTAATTAATAAAGGCCATTTCCATGAAACCAAATGTTCATTTCATAGATTCATTAAAACCTCAACAGACAGTAAGCAGGTTTCTATCACATATATTTATTTAGTCCCTCCATCACTAATATTTACTGATTGTGGGAAGTTTACATTGCTATGAATGATGTTCTCATGAATATGTTTAAAATAATTTTTTTCATGAGACTTTCCCAACTGCTGAAGCAAGTTATCAGAATGACACATTTTCAAATGTAATTTACACACATGGTTGCTTTGGAAAGCAGACCTTCCTTCTGCATTAGCAAAGAATGGATGAAACAAATCACAGCTGTTGAAACTTGGCATGTTCAAGCATTTTCAGATGGTGGCAGTGACAGCACCATGGGCAGATGGGTGAATATCAAACAGAACCAAAGGCCAATGTTTTAACGTGATACAGGAATCTGCCAGAGATCAACATATATAGACTAGAGTTTAACATCCTGTAAGATGTCCTGAATTTTGTTCATCTCTTCCTCTCCATTAGCTCCCACTTTGAGGCCTAAAACAGAAAGGGAAGACAGAAGGTAGATAGATGATATTGGAGGTGAATATATCAAACGCTGAGAAGCAATGGAATTCAAGTTAAAGAGGATTATTTTTTTATTGAAGGTAAAACACTTTATCACAACCAGAAAAGCTAAATGTGAAATGTAACAAATCCTACAAATCTTAGGAATAAGGAGAGGAAACCTTCAGGAGAAAAAAGCTCAGGGAAAATTTTAAACTAGGAAGCTGGAGGGCACTTGTCCATTCCTTCTCTTCATTTTCTCCTCAGGCGTACTTTAGTGCACAAACCAGTGCAATACAATCTTTGCCGATCCCTAAGGATGCATCTGTTAGCTGAAAAAATCTGTAGCAAAATACACACGGACCGTACTGCCTTCTTTCTTTTCCCATGATTGCTTAGTGGGGAAGAGAAAGCAACTCTAGACAGTCAACCTAAAAAAGATTCTCACAACAGGTCATCTTTCCCGGGATGTGTCTTGACTGAGAAAGATGAAAATGAGAAAACAAAGATCAAATTGAGAAAACAAAGACAAACTCTGATGTCTCATCATGATGTTAGAAAATCCAGCAGACAATTTGGGGATATTTTCTGTCTTCTAGCTTGGCTTGTTATAGCCTATGGATAGTCACACCATCTACCTTAGTGTGTTGAGATATTTAACTGACCGTGTTTGTGGACCACACTTTAGATACTGAGGTCCCTCTGCAGCCGATGCACATCCACAAGGGTGATTCAGAGCCCTGTAAGTTAGAGGCCTAAAATAGTCCACCACAGACCCCTGCATGTACCACAGAACCCTGGGACTCTAATTTGTTTCTGATAATTTCTGACATGAAAAAGTAGACAGCAGCAGCTGGAGAGCAATACTTTCCAACGTGGAGTGCTTGTGCATTTTATCAGCTCCTGCTAGCACTGTGCGCTGGCCCACAGCTGCAGATAACACTGAGAAGCATACCAGCTTCTGCCACATACCAGAGCAAAGAACGTGATTTGCAAATTGCTGTAAATGACACCTGAAGAAAATGCTGAAGTGGCCAGACAATCTAGACAGTCAAGTTTGTGTGATGGAGCAACAACACAGAAATATGGGGAAGGAAAAGTATACATACGTTCGGTGAGCTGATGAAACATACTCACATCCTTTTTGGTAGAAAATGAGATAGAGGTAGCCAGATACTGGCACTGAATGGAAAAACAGAACAGATCTCCTTGCGCTCATTAAGGATTAGAGTTTTCAAAATTCTGCACTGAAAAGGTACTTGTATGCCGTTGATGTATCTATTTATATGTGGAGGAGAAGGAAGGGCTTTCACACTAAGGTCTCATGACATTTTCATTTCTATGACAAGAGATAATGAAATACAAACACTGCTGGCTGAGGAAATACAGATTTATATTTTTTTTAAGAAAAAATGGTTATAGGATTCTACATATTCACTTACAAGAGAGAGGGTCCTCTTCTGAGTTTAACAGTCCATGCGGAGGAAAATATGTATCTGTCATGAAAAACAAAACAAAAAGTCATGACGAGTGTCAAGAAATGCGAGACAGACAGACTTGCCTAGGAATCTTTCCCACAAAAGCTATTCCAACCATTCTCTG